TCCCTCAGGTGTGTCTCAGGTAGACCCTCCTCCCTTCCCTGCGCCGGTTGAGGTCACTGGTGACTCAGGTCCTGCTGGGGGTGGTCCTGCTCGGGGTGCTACTTCTGGGGGTGCTGAGCCTGGGGGTGCTGAGCCTGGGGGTGTGGAGCCTGGGGGTGCGGAGCTTGAGGGTGTAGAGCCTGGAGGTGCTGAGCCTGCGTGTGAGGGGTCTGGAGGTGCTGGAGCTGGTGGTTCTGGGGCTGCTGAGGGTGCGAGCGCTGGAGGTTCTGGAGCTGCTGGAGGTCCTGGTGCTGGTGGCGCTGGAGCTGCTGAGGGTGCTGGCGCTGAGGGTTCAGAGTCTGCTGTTGCGCGGTCTCCTTGGAGTAGCCGCCTTCGTCCACGTGTGCCTCTCACCTCACAGCAGCTACACGACTGGTACGGTCGCCGTCAGGGTCGCGCTGCTGGAGCCCGGGGCTCTACTGCTGGAGGTACTTCTGCTGCCGTCCCTGGAGCTAGGAGTGGTGCTGGTACTGTTTCTACTGGAGGTGCTGGAGTCGCTGGTCCCGGAGGTGCTCGTACTGGAGGTACTGGAGCTGCTGGGGCTGAGGGTGCTGCGTCTGGAGGTGCTGCTGCTGGAGACACCGAGGCTGGAGACCCTGGGACTGGAGGTGCTGGTTCTGGAGGTGCTGCTGCTGGAGACGTGGAGGCTGGAGACCCTGGGACTGGAGGTGCTGGTTCTGGGGGTGCTGCTGCTGGAGACGTGGAGGCTGGAGACCCTGGGACTGGAGGTACTGGTTCTGGGGGTGCTGCTGCTGGAGGCACTGGGGTTGGAGACCCTGGGCCTGGAGGTGTCGGTTCTGCTGCTGGAGCTGCTGGAGCTGCCGGTACTGGTGCAGCTGCGCCGCCACGACTGTTCTTCGCTCCGCCGTCTCCGTCGTCTCTGCCGCCGCCTGACTCTGTTCTTCGTCAAGTTCTTACTCTCCCGTCGTCTACTGGTCTTCCGTTACAGACTGGCTCACCGCTGCCTGCTCCTTCTCCTTACACTGAGCAGACAGGTAGTCTTGCTGAGCGTCGTGAGCCTGCGTCGCGTCCTGTCTCGCCTGTTCGTCCTAGTCATACCGGTCGTCGTGTTCCGCGTCCGCGTTCGCCGCCTGTCCCCACCGCACATCTTGTCGTCCGTCACCCTTCCTCTGTTCCGCAGTCTGTTTCTCTGCCGTCTCCTCCTGCGTCTTCCTTGCCTCACGTTCCGGACCCTGAGTCTGACCGGTTTCGTGCTGAGCACCCTACTGTCACGCGTCTGCTCGCCACTGTTGTCACTGACCCCTCGTTTGAGTCTGCTGCTGCGACTGCTTTGGTTGCTGAGCTTGTTGACTTTGCGGCTGCCTGTCGTCTAGACTACGCTGCTAGTCTTGTCGCTGAGTCTGAGTCTGTCTGTCTTCCGTCGGGGGTGAGTGTGCTCTTAGCACGGACGTCCTTGAGGACAGGCACGAGGACCTTGAGTGTCTTGCAGCCGCTGCGCCTCATCTCGTGACCATGCTGCTTGCCCCTGAGGGAGACCCGGATGCACTAGACATCCCCACCCCGCGCTCGTACGCTGAGGCGGTCGCGGGTCCCTACTCCTCTCAGTGGCAGGCAGCCATGGACGCAGAGATGGCATCCTGGAAGTCCACAGGCACCTACGTCGACGACGTTCCCCCTCCTGGGGCGAACATCGTCAGTGGCATGTGGATTTTCAGGGTGAAGCGGCCGCCGGGTTCTCTGCCTGTCTTCAAGGCTCGTTACGTTGCTCTTGGCTTCAGTCAGCGAGAGGGGGTTGACTTCTTCCAGACCTTCTCCCCCACCCCGAAGATGACCACTCTTCGGGTACTGCTGCACGTTGCCGCCCAGCGTGACTACGAGCTTCACTCGCTTGACTTCAGCACAGCTTTCTTGCAGGGCAGCCTGCACGAGGAGATCTGGCTGCGCCGCCCACCTGGCTTCACTGGGTCGTTCCCTCCTGGTACCCAGTGGAGCCTCCGCCGGCCAGTCTACGGTCTCCGTCAGGCGCCTCGTGAGTGGCACGACACACTGAGGACTACGCTTGCGGCTCTCGGGTTTGCGCCCTCCACAGCTGACCCGTCACTGTTTCTGCGCACTGACACCTCGCTGCCGCCGTTCTACATCCTCGTGTACGTCGACGACTTGGTCTTTGCCACTGCTGACACTGAGGCTCTCGCCCACGTGAAGTCGGAGCTGCAGAAGAGACACACGTGCACAGACCTGGGTGAGTTGCGCAGCTACCTTGGCTTGCAGATCACCCGGGACAGAGCACGTCGCACCATCACTCTGACTCAGTCACACATGGTGCAGCAGGTCCTTCAGCGGTTCAGCTTCACCTGGTCCTCGGCACAGTCCACTCCTCTGGCTACAGGTCACTCGCTCTCAGCTCCACCTTTGGACGAGTCCGTAGAGCCGAGTGGTCCTTACCCAGAGCTAGTAGGCTGCCTCATGTACCTGATGACTTGCACTCGTCCTGACCTTGCGTACCCTCTTGGCCTTTTGGCCCGCTACGTGGCTCCTGGTCGGCACCGAAAGGTGCACATGGATGCTGCGAAGAGGGTACTGCGCTACTTGTGCAGTACATCGAGCATGGGGCTCGTGCTTGGAGGACGGCGAGAGGTGGTCCTCACTGGGCACTCAGACGCGTCTTGGGTTGACGACCAGGCTACACAGCGGTCGTCACAGGGTTACACTTTCAGCCTCGGCTCTGGTTCTGTTTCGTGGCGTTCTACTCGCTCGTCTTCTGTTCTCAGCTCCAGTTGTAAGGCTGAGATCTACGCCACCGCCATGGCTGCTCAGGAGCTGCGCTGGCTCACGTACCTGCTGACCGACCTGGGAGAGCGGCCTCGTTCTCCTCCAGTTCTGTACGTTGACAACAAGGCAGCCATTGCCTTGTGTGAGGAGCACAGACTGGAGCACAGAACGAAGCACATCGCTCTGCGTTACTTCCTGGCTCGAGAGTTGCAGCAGCGTGGTCAGCTTCGTCTTGCTCATGTGGCCACTCGGGCCAACACTGCTGACATATTCACCAAGGCACTTCTGTCTGGTGATCATCAGCGCTTTTGTACCTTGTTGGGCCTTGTGCCTACGTTTCCACACTTGCTGTAGACTCTGCCTGTACTGTGATATTTTTGTATATATACCTGCATGCTTGCTCTTGCTAGGTAGTGATCACTGTACTTTGTTTGTTGCATATATACCTCTGCATGTGGACTGGCCTTGTGGCCCTTTGCTTGTGCTCAGTCTGTGTGGTGACGTTGTGATCCACCCTGAGCTTGGTTTGTTTCTCTTGACTGGTCTTGTGACCCCTTGTTCTCCCCCACTTTGCCTATGGGGGTGTGTCAAACTATGCATATTGTGTTTGTGTAGGCTGCTAGTGGGGTAGCCCATATGGGGTACAGCCCAATGTTAGGGTTAGCTTATGTACCCAACTCTTGATCAATGCATTCATTCCTGCCTCTAGATTCTAACAATATGTACCCCAACGAACATCAATGCATTATCCATTCTTCATTCTGACAGGGTTTAGGGGGGGTTTTGGTTCGATGGGAGTGCAGTTGGGGTGTTTTGATGGGATGGTTAGATGGGGTTTCAATTGTGTGTGCTATTGGGGTTTTCTTTATGTTGTGTCTTGTGTTTTTTCTTCCCTTTTCCCGGTTTTTCTTCCTCCTACCATTTTCTCCCTATTCCCTTCCTTCTTTCTTCTTCTTTCCTTTTTTCTCCTCACGTTATTCCTCCTTTCCTCTTCTCTTCCTGTTCCCACTCAATTTCCTTGCATAATTGTGCTGCACTGTAATATCTATACAGATGTATAAATACTACATACATTTAGTTTCCACAGTTTGCTATGATTATCGTCGTTGTTTATATCAGCATTGAACAATGTACATATTCTAGCTGCAAGGCTGACAACACGCTCATCGAAACAGCAGTCATCTTGTATGTCGAAGTTGGTGGGGGATGGTCGGTGGGACCAGATTGTTTGAACCGTTTCGACTCTCGAGTCTTGTTCGGTTTCGCGAGAAAAACTGTGGACCGCACCAACATACGTACACTCTACATTGGCAGTTGATTCAAGTGTGCTGTACGTAGATACAGACTGGCACAACCGACAGGGGCGAGCTGGGCTACTTGAGCCGTTGGCGACAGGAATCGTAAATCAGCAGGTTGACGACGGTCACACTCACACTAATCGACGTCAAGGAAATGACGTTATGACTTGAAGCCGATTGTGTTGGCGACAGCAGCTCAACCTGCGCGACGGTTTTGCTTCGAAACAGCATTGGTTGCGACTCCATTGTTTGTGGAGAGTGTAGCCAACCAAGAGTGTCGGGGCAACTTGTCTTCTTGTTCTGGCGAAATTCGATTGGTTGAATTTACCGAGTCGCATGTGGGTTTCGTGACTGCGGATCTCTCCAAACTGGAGGAAAAAGCCGCACGAACGACATTTGCGAGCCTGTGCGACGCCACCTGACACTCGCTCATGCGAGAGTTACAAACGAATGTCCCACATCCCGAGCAACGGCCCCACCTGTGGTTACCGCCACCATGCCTTTCCGAGTCGCAGATTCCTTCTCAGATCAGTTGATCTCCACCACATGATGGTGGCTCAGCAGCACCATGCACCGGACGGGACGAGCACAGCCTCGCTCACAGCACATTCACACCAATTTTATGATCAGACTTCTACAAAGCGGCAGCATCCCACCAGCCATATATCTTGTGTGCAGCGTCGTCCTCGTCGGTTTTCAAAGCATTTAGGCGTTTATTCCTGCGGAAACAGCTGGGCTTGGTCCAGAAGACTACTAAAACCTGGACGGAGAAACGCCTCTTAGCTGACGCCTGTGCCAAATTCATCCCGTCTCGCAATATTCGTAGCCACTGCCATATTTATCTCCTCTCGCGACCAGATTTGCAGAGATAGACTGGATTCAAATTTCATTCTCCTCGCGCCTCTTGTTAGCGCACCACGTTGAGTAACGATGGCGCAATATACGCGCACTTTCGCTCTCCTCTACGTTTTCCTTTTTCTCTGCACTTCCCTCTCGTCCGCCTTTTCCTCCCTAAGCGATCGTCGACTCACCCCACGCGAGCGTGTCCTACGCGACGGCGCGCTACTCGCCGACCGAAGCCACTCCGTCATCTTCAAAAAAGGCTCCTCCAGCGACAATTCCGTCAGTTCCGCCAATTCTGCCGGCAGCGAAGCAGACACCCGACGGAATCTAAACGGCGGTCCGGTGACGTCGTTCGCGATCGCAAACGGCATCTCGCGAGGCAGCCTCATCCAGATTGGCTTCGACGACGCCGCGAGCGATCGCTCCGAGTCGTCCAGCGATCGCATTCAGTCGCACGGCGACCAATTCAGAGATCCGAGCGATCAATTCGAGGCGCCGTCGCTCACCATCTTCTGCGCTCCAAAACCCTACTCGTCAATCGCGGACCCTTCGGACCCAAACCCCGACTCGCAGCGGCGCGCTTTGCTCTCCTGGCTGCGCCTCTCCCCGCCTCCGAAAATCGTTCTTTTCGGAAACGACACGTCGTTCCACGAGCTCGCGCGTCGGTTTCCCGCGCAGATCTCCGTCGAGCCACTGATCGACAGCAATTTCTACGGCGTGCCGCAGTTTCACAGCATGGTGGCGCGCGCGCAGGCCGCTTCGACCGACATCTCGATGATAATCAACGGCGATATCATCCTCCTGAATGACGTCATGCTCGCGTTGCAGAAGACGCACGGAACCTTCCAGCACTGGGTGATGACCGCGGCGCGCTGGGACATGCCCGAAGATTTTCCGTACTCCTTCGAGCCGCAGATGTGGGGGCAGCGGGGGCTGGCTCGCGGGCGCAGCCACGCGGCGATGGAGGAGGAGATCCGCGGGGTTGTACGCGATATAGGCACGCTGCACACGTACGGCGGGGTGGACTTCTGGGCTTGGAACAACGACTCTCCCGCGCCGCTATTCGACGGGGTTATGCCGCCGTTTTCGTTCGGGCGCGGGAAGTACGACAACTGGTTCACGCACGAGATCGTGGCGGCAGGGCGGCGGACCATGGTTGACGCCAGCGAGGCAGTCACGGCAATCCACGTGGCGCACTCTTACTCGCACGTGGTAGAATCAGCCGCGACCAAGAGCATTAGTATCGGAAACAGTAACGGAAACGGAAACGGATTAGCAGCAGGGAAGAACTTTTGGAGCACGCGGAAGAAGAGCAGCTGGGAGCTGTTCGGTAACATCCACATGGCCATGACACATGGTTCCTACGCCAATCAGAAGGGCACCGCGCTGCACGTGCCCTGGAAGCTCGCCACGTGTCACGAGCCGTCCGTGCACAACATGTGCCTGCAGCAGCGCCTTCGCCCCGCCACGTGTACCTGCGAATCCGCGAATTTCGTTAGGTCTAGCCAGACCGATCCGAAGCTGGATAAAACGGGCAGGAAATGGACATGTGGCAGCGTGTCAGTGGACAGGAATTCGGACTACAGTATCCCCACTCTTCCTCCTCCTTCGCCTGCCCAAGCCCCTGTAGGCCTCCCACACACCATGGAGCAGCTACTACCCACAATTGCTCGGACCGTCTCGGACGGGCGGGGGGGAGAGCTGCAGGTGGTAACCCTAGTGGCGGTAACCGCGGGGTACGCGGAGATGCTGATGAGCTTTGTGTGCCGCCTGCGCTCCCTCGGCCTCGCCTCCAACCTCCTCGTTGCCGCGCTTGATGAGGACTTGTACCGATTCGCCTTCACGCAGGGCCTGCCCGTGTACTATGAGCAAGTCAGCCAAGGGCTGAAGGGGGTTGATTCAAAGGACTGTGCCTTTGGAAGCCAGTGCTTCAGGCAGTTCACTAAGCTGAAATCCCGGGCTGTGCTTCGGGTGCTCAAGGCGGGGTATTCTGTGCTCTGGACGGATGTCGACATTGTCTGGTTCACCGATCCTCTCCCGGACCTGCTCTCGTATGGCCCAGGGACTTTCCCGATCCAGAGCAATGAGCCGAATGTGACTCTGCCTGGGACGGGCATTCGGCGAATCAACTCTGGGTTTTACTTTGCCCGGGCGGATAAAAGGACGGTGGCGGCGTTTGAGGCGATTACTGCGCATGCAGCTACTACGAGATTGTCGGAGCAGCCGAGCTTCTATGATATTCTGTGCGGGGTGAAGGGCGAGAATGTTGTGGAGGGGAAAGAGGAGTGTGTGTGGAAAAATGGCCTCCGCACCATCTTCCTCGATAGATTGGTGTACGCAAATGGTGCGGCGCATGCGTTTTGGGATGAGGAGGATGTGGAGGGAACTTGCAGAAGAAAAGGATGCACCATTCTCCACAACAACTGGATTGCTGGGAAGGATGCCAAGAAGCAGAGGTTTGTGGTGAATTCCTTTTGGCACTATGATGCTGAGAAAAGGATGTGCATGTGGAGATGGCATAATGGATCATCTCAAAGAGGAGTCTCAGCGAGTAGAATTTCAGCAATGAAGTGAGCATGCTGTAAGGACACACACGGCCAGGTTTCGTTGTAATTGGATTTGTTTTGTAAAATAATATTAGTAGTTGCTTAACATTACCTATCAGTGATCAAGCATCCACGGGCCTCTTCATAGTATGAGCACATATCCCCTTCAATTCTATGTAGTGTATCTACACGACGAAGGTGACTGAACAAGCCAGCCCAGGTTTGCCTCACTTGGCCTATGGATGCCATCAGGCAACGTGGTCAGGTTGGCCAAAACCTTATTCGCTGACTTCGCTGACGGTGATTGGTGCTGGCAGCCACACAAAGCCAGCCTGCCCACCACACCACACGCGCATAAAATTCCATTCACCACCAGCTCCGTTTTCTTTCACCGCCTCCTTTCGCGGAGTTACCACAAACAACGACCTAAACTTCGCAACGATACACAAGAGAAGCAGACAACGTCGTGCAAGTTCTTCGCGTTTCTTCGTCACTCGATGTCACCAACCAGTTTTCGCTGAACTTATCCCTTATCCTTCGGATCGCGTCTCCCGCAACGACTTATTCCCCGCCGCCAAACCAGCATGCTCGCTTAGTGCTTAACCGTTTCCTAGGTGACACATGACATGAGTCGTCGTGACATTCCAGCTAGATCCTTATCGCATTCCCGCGTAACCTCCGCTGCAGGACACCGATAAGTACTTCAGAATATTCACATTCTCAAATTCGTCGGTCGCTTCACCATTATCAATCCACATCGCAACTGGTATAACACTCCAAAGAGAAGACTCCTACGATCCGTAACCTCCTCCTCCTCCTCCTCCTCCTCCTCCTCCTCCTCCTCCTCCTCCCATTTATCCTCCCTACACTCCCGCACCCCGTTTCACTGAACCATTCCTAGAAAAAAGTCAGCAAGCAGCATTCAAAATGGGCCAAACCGCTCACTATAGATCCATACTCCTAGCCGTAGTAGTAACAATCACTCTCCTCCTCCCCGTCGCCACCGCGAACAAGCACAAGCATGTTCCGCAGCAGCAAGAGCAGCGGCAAGAGCAGCAGCGGCAGCGCCATTTCCTCACCATATTTACTGCGCCCAAGCCTTACACGTCCATCCTCGACCCGTCCTCCCCGCACGCCGACCCGCAGCGCCGCGCGCTCCTCTCGTGGATGCGCCTCCGCCCGTCCCCGAAAATCGTTCTCCTGGGGAACGACTCTTCTTTCCGCGCGCTCGCGCGGCAATTTCCCGCGCACGTAACGGTCGAATCGTCCATCGATACGAATTTCTACGGCGTGCCGCAGGTGCACAGCGTCGTCGCGCGCGCTCAAGCCGCGGACACGCCGGTTTCGATGGTAATCAACGCGGATATTATTCTCATGAATGACGTCATGGCTGCGATGCGGAAGGTTCACGAGAACTTTCGCCACTGGGTGATGACCGCGGCGCGGTGGGACATGCCCGAGGAGTTTCCTTACTCGTTCGAGCGGGAAATGTGGGCGGGGCGCGGTCATCGGGAACATGAGACGACGATTCGCGAGTTCGTACGTACGCACGGGACGCTGCACACGTACGGCGGGGTCGACTTCTGGGCGTGGAACAACGACGACCGTACGCCGGTTCCTTTGGTGAAAGGAACCGTACCACCATTCTCGTACGGCCGCGGCAAGTACGACAACTGGCTGACGCACGAGATCATTTCGTCGGGGCTTCGCGAAATCGTCGACGCCAGCGAGGCCGTTACAGCCGTACACGTGGCGCACTCCTATTCGCACGTGATGGAGTCGGCGTTCACGAAAAACGCGGCGGGATTGGCGGGGAAGAGCTTCTGGAGTACGAGAATGAACAGTAGCTGGGAGCTGTTCGCGAATATCCACCTGGCGCATACACACGGGACGTACGCCAATCAGAAAGGGACACCTCTGCACGTGCCAGTCAAGCTGATGAACTGCCTGGAAGCTTCGGGTGAGCTGGTTAAACCGCGTTATAGAAATGCCACTTTTTGCATCCCATGGATATCGACATGTAGGAACAAGGTTTCAATACATTGCTTCCCCCTTTCACCGTTCCCCTCATCTTCCCCCTCTCCCCGTCCCCCATCCCCACCAGCCAACTATCTCTGTCTGCAGAGGCGTCTCCGCCCGGCTGTCTGCTCCTGCGAATATTCATCCGCGGTGGCAACCTCCCAGACGGACCCCCGCCTGAGCGCCAAGACGAATCAGTGGACGTGCGGCTCCGTCGCCCCTGCCAACGCCACGGATTACACCATCCATGCCATTCCGCACACTGCTGTTGAGTCGTCCACCAACAGCAGCAGCAGCGGCAGTGGTGGTAATGGCAGCAGTGGCAGCAGCAGCAGCAGCGATGCAGGAGCTTCAACCAACTCCTCCTCCTCTGCCTCCTCCCCTGCCTCCTCTCCTGTGGGTCTCCCACACACCATGGAGCAGCTACTACCAGTGCTAGCCCGCAGGGTCCCGGACGGGCGGGGGGGAGAGCTGCAGGTGGTAACCCTAGTGGCGGTAACTGCGGGGTACGCGGAGATGCTGATGAGCTTCGTGTGCCGCCTGTGCTCCCTCGGCCTCGCCTCCAACCTCCTCATTGCCGCGCTTGATGAGGACTTGTACCGATTCGCCTTCACACAGGGCCTGCCCGTGTACTATGAGCAGGCAAGCGAGGAGGTGAAGCATATGCGTGCCTCGGAGTGTGGGTATGGCAGCCAGTGCTTCCGCCATTTCACCAAGCTCAAGTCCCGCTCCGTGCTCAAAGTTCTCAACGCTGGTTACTCTGTTCTCTGGACCGACGTTGACATTGTCTGGTTCACCGACCCTCTCCCGGACCTACTCTCGTTCGGCCCGGGAACACTCCCGATCCAGAGCAATGAGCCAGACGCGAATTTGCCCGGAACTGGCGTTCGGAGGATCAACTCGGGGTTTTATTTCGCCCGGGCAGACCGGAAAACAATCGAGGCGTTTGAAGCGATCACGGCACACGCAGCAGCGACGAAATTGTCCGAACAGCCGAGCTTCTATGATGTTCTCTGCGGGGAGGCAGGCGAGCTAGTAGCTGCTGGGAGGGAGGAGTGCGTGTGGAAAAACGGACTGAGAACGGTCTTTCTAGACAGGGCCAGATACCCTAACGGGGCGGTTCACGGGTTGTGGGAGCAGAAAAATATTCACAGGGCGTGTGCAAAGGTGGGGTGCTCCATTCTGCATAATAACTGGATATCGGGGAGGGAGGAGAAGATGAGGCGGTTCTTGGCGAATGACATGTGGCATTATGATGCCGATCGACGCATGTGCGTGTGGGAGTGGCATGGGAAGGTGCCAGCACTGGTGAGGCAAGAGGGAGGAGAGGGAGGCGGAGGAGAGCTGAATGGGGGCGCTGGTGGGAAAGGGCAGAGGAGAGGTAATGGGAAGGGGATTGAGAACAAGAGGTTCCACCAAAAGCAAGCAGCTTTATAGAGAAGCCATATAATACCTTGGTGTGCTATGCATACCGTCATCGCCCGGATATAAGACATATATGTCTTATCTCGTACACGGGCAAAAATGCTTGATGTATCTTGTAAACGGGATGGTTTAGGGTGTCTTATAATTCTTATAAATGGAAAAAAATTTAAGTTGACTGTAACACTTGCAAAGTGTGTAGAAAACAGCCAGGGACCAGATTCATTGAAACAGGCCGCCCTCGGTGGCCATGCATGCACCGCCCACACTTGCCACGTGAGGGATGCAGCAAAGCTGCCACCGCTGGCAAGATTCCTCTGCGCTGGCAGCATCTAATGATGCTGCCAGCGTCGTTTTGCTGCCAGCAGCGCATGGCAGCTTCCAGAAGGCTGCCAGCAGCACGTTGGCAGCAACAGGGCTGTCCTCTACGAGGACATGCCTCGTAGAGGAGCGGCTCGGTACCTGTGGATGGGGCACTCTGACAGGGGGGGGTAGTCGGGCTTTCAATTCATTTGGTGCTCATGGAGGTTGAGTCCTCTCCTCAACCTTGCTCTCGGCAGGCTCTCTAACCATGCGCAGCAAGGTACCCCTAGGCAAGTCCTCACCTCGTCCTCACGTCCATGTGAATAACTAAGGGCGAATTAACTCGCCCCGCGATGACATCCGCGTAGCCATGGCGAAGAACGCGAGCAAGGCGGGAAGTCGTACCGCCGCCTCCGGTGCGAGCTGTGACGGGGACGCCCAAGACGAAGCACAAGGCGACGACGCGGAGGAGGATTGGCCGGAGAACGGCCACGATGACAGCGCTTCGGGCGACGGATTAGGTCCTGCCGACATTGAGGAGGACGAATGGTGGAATCAGCCAGTCGGGAGCGACGACGAGGTTGAAGAGTGGCGGGCTGGTGATTCCGACAACGACGGAGGTGAAGATGCTGGCGGTGAACACGCGGAGGCACAGGAAGCGGCGGTGGCAGCCGACGAGGCCGCGGCGGAACGCGAGACAGCGGCGCCTGCGGATGCTGACGTGGTGGCGGAGGGGGACAAGGTGGCTGCGGATGCCGTCTTATTGGACGGCGAGGGCACCGACGAGGACCCCTGGAGCCTTGCTTCGGACGACAACGTGCCGCTACTGAAGCGGAGGCTGCGCCATCGCATCCAGTCCACGACGAAGCGCGCCCGCGTGGTGCTTTCGGACGACGACAGTGCCGGGGAGGAGCGTCGCCCCCTACTCAGCGCTGCGGAGAAAGGAAAGGCGAAGGTCGTGGAAGCCCCTGCTAAGTACCCTGCTAAGGTCCCTGCAAAGGCCCCTGCTCGTCGCCGCACAAGCAACAAGAAGCGCAAGGACGACGGTGACCCTGGATCCAGCAAGGGTGCGGCTAGGAAAAAGGCGAAGAAGGCGCCCAATCCTGACGACATCATCGTCAACGAGGCGTTGGGCAGCGACGATGAGTACGCGGCGGCGGCGGGCCCGATTCCCACGTTCCCTGAAAAGGAGAACCCTAAGGACCCCACCCTCTCTAACCCCAACACCCGCCCACCTTCCCTTCGCAGCAAAGACTCCACGAAGAAGCGCCGCGGCTGGACCGTGCGTGAGAAGCTCAAGTGGGCGCGCCGCTATAAGGAGCTCGGCTCCCTGAAGAAAACAAGCGTGGAGTCCACCGCGAGCGTCGCCTGCATCAGACGCTGGAGCGCGGAAGCGGCTGCGGGCATCTACAAGGGCGCGGCTAACTGCCGCAAGCGGATGCACGGGGGGGGGGGCGCCACGCACACTACCCCGACATGGAGGCAGCGTTGTATCGCTACATCTGCCTTCAACGAGCTAACGGGGTGGCCATCTCGGTGAAGGACACCCAGAAGTGGAGCCGCGAGTGGATGAAGAAGCATCACCCCGGCAAAAACTGGAACGCGAGCTCTCACTGGAGCCAGCGTTTCCGGGACCGCTGGAACCTGGTGATGCGGGTGAAAACGAAGGTCGGACAACGTCTGTCGGCAGGTGTGTGGATAAGGAGTTCGTCCCCTTGTATGCATGTTTAACCAGAAGACGCGCTTGACGGTGATGCTAGCGTGCACCGCATCCGGGGATAAGCTGCGGCCGTGGGTGTGGTTCAAGATGAAGAACGTCCCCAACTGTGAGATTCCGGACGGTAAGCGCCGTGAATTCTACCTTGCCCTTGCCGTGCGAGCGTGCCCCACTGTGCTGATGCCCGTCTGTCCCTTGTGTGCCTGGCAGGAATCGTGGTCCAAGCACAGGACAACGGGTGGATGGACGAGAGCGCTGTGCAGACCTGGCTGTCCAAGGAGGTGCTGCCCCATCTGAACCCCCAGCGCGGCCAGAGCGCAAGGCGTGCGATGCTGGTGTTGGACTCCTACCGCGGCCACATCACCCAGACCATGCTTCAGTCGTACCGCACGCACAGCATCACCCCTGCAGTCATTCCAGCGGGTTGTACGAGCCAGATTCAACCCCTGGACGTCTCCATCAACCGGTGCTTCAAGGCTGCCGTGCGAGCGCGCTACGCCAGGTGGTTCATGCGCGAAGGGATTCACCTGAAGACGAAGAAGGGTGAGTTGGCTGTTCATTTCGAGTTCCTGCTCTGTTTCGTGTCCTTGTCGTTAACATCCCGCTGCCGTGCCCTCTCTCCCACCCGTCAGGGAACCTGCGGAGGCCTCCGCACCCCGTGGTGCTGCAGTGGATCGCGGAGGCTTGGGATCAAGTCCCCAGACAGATAATCATCGACGCGTTCCGCCACTGTGGCATCTCCAGCAAGCTGGACGGAACGGAGAACCACCTGGTGATGTCTCACCTGCGCGCCAGGAGCACCACCGATGTCTCCGAGGACATGTCCCTCGGGGGGACCACAGGCGACAACACGCGCCTGCTCGGGAAGGCTCCAGTGGAGGAGGAGGAGGAGGGGGAGGAGGAGGAGGAGGAGGAGGAGGGGGAGGAGGAGATGCAGGCGGAGGGCGTGCGGGAGGTGGCCGTGGCAACTGGCCTGGAGGTGCTGTACCAGGAGACCCCCAACTACCGCGGAGCGGCGGCCGAGGCTGACCGCATGATCGAGCCTAGGGAGACGGCTAGGCATGCCTGGCGAGTGCCAGACTTGAGTGTAGAGCCTGTTGCTAGTGCTCCAGAGGAGGCGGTGACGGAGGGGGGTTAGGTAGAAGTAGAGATTCATTCATGTATGGATGTACCCCCCTAAAGTAAGAAAGGTTTGTTAAACTGTATTAACAGGGCGCCGCCTGCCCACCGCGCTGCCCGCTTCGTAGCCCGCCCCCCGCACTGCCCGCTCGCCGAGTCGCCCGCCCGCCGCGCTTCCCGCCGAGCTACCTACCTGCAGCGCTGCGGCAGCTTCCTTTGCTCAGTCGCACTGTCACTATGGCTTCCATCCGCGTGCTGTCGTTCGATGCTGAGGGCCGCCCTGTGAAGTTCGCAACTTGGCTGGACGACCTGCAGCTGTTCCTTCTGAGCGATAGCAAGGAGCATGTGTCGCTCTATGATTACGCGTCTGGTGCTGCACCTGCCCCTCCTGCCACAGCTGAGCTTAGTGTTCGTTCCCACTGGCAGACCCGTGACGCAGCTGCTCGCCTAGCCATTCGCAGTCACCTGCCGCTAGCTGAGCTCGAGCATTTTGGCGACTGCAAATCCGCTAAGGCCCTGTACGATGCTGTCGTTGCTCGCTACTCCTCGCCTGCCACAGCCGAGCTTAGCCGCCTCATGCTGCCGTACCTGTTCCCTGAGCTGTCCACCTTTGCTACAGTCGCCGATCTTATCACCCACCTTCGCACTAGTGATGCTCGCCTGCGTGCTGCCCTTCCCACCGAGTTCTGCGCTAAGAACCCCCCTCCACTGTACTGGACACTCCACTTCATAGTCACCCGACTCCCTGACACCCTCAGCTCAGTTCGAGACCACTTCCTTGCTCGCTGTCCCACTGAGCTCACAGTCGCCCTCCTAGAGGAGCAGCTGCTAGCGGCCGAAAAGAGCATTGTAGCTGTCGGTGCTGCTCGTGGCGCTCCTCGCACCCCCATCTTTGAGGGGTGTTCTCCCTCTCCCCTCGCTCCCTCCTACGCTACTGCTGCTGCTGTTGACTTCCTTGGTGCTGAGTCTGCTGGCGCTGCTTCTACTCCTGGTGGGAGGCGCCGCACCGGCAAGGGCAAGGGGGGCAAGGGTGGCGGGGGTGGCGCTGGGGGGGGAGGAGGTGGGGGGGGGGGGGGGGGGAGGCGGTGCTGGAGGGAGCGGTGGCGGGAGTGCTGGTGGGAGTGGGGTCGGCAGCGGAGGCGGGGGCGGCGGAGGGAGCGGTGGCGGTGGTGGCGGCGGCGGCGGTGGCGGCGGCGGCGGCGGTGGCGGCGGCGGCGGTGGCGGTCGGAGCGGAGGTAGTGGTGGTGGCGGAGGTCGGAGTGGAGGCACTGGCTCGGGCCAGAGCTCCCAGCAGCAGCAGCGTCCCCAGACGACCCAGCAGCTTCGTGAGTGGCTTGCTCAGCGTGGGACGTCGGGGGGCAATGGCCGCTGTTCCTATGTCATTCGCACAGGTGACCGCAAGGGACAGACGTGTGGGAGGTTCCACACCCCGTACCGCTGCTTCTCCCGCCTTGACGACGCTTGGCGTGAGGAGATGGGCGAGGATGTTGAGCGCCCCCGCTGGGCTGAGCTCATGAGGGCTGGTGTTGATATCTTTGCTCTTGACTATGATGCTATTATTGCTGCCATGTATGCATTGACTGTTAGTGCCGAGGGAGACTGTTACTTGTGTGTGCCGCCTGACCCAGGTATAGAGCCCGCTGTCCTGGGTACTAGTGAGTCTGCTCTCTCTGGTATGGTGCCCCCTGTACTTGCTCCCTCCAGTGCTGTCCCGACTGTTTGCGAGTCTGCTCTCTCAGGTACAGCACCCACAGAGACTGCTCTCTCAGGTACCGCACCGGCTGAGGCCTGTCACACCTTCACCCTTGACTCAGGTGCTTCCCGCTGTTTCTTTCGTGACAGTACTGAGCTCACACCGCTTCCTGCACCGGTCCCAGTCTCCTTGGCTGACCCCTCTGGGGGCCCAGTCCTTGCCCAGTCCACCACTGTGCTCCCTTGTCCAGCGGTTCCGTCTGGCTCGTTGTCGGGTTTCCACCTCCCCTCGTTCTCGACGAACCTGGTGAGCAACGCTGTCATCCAGGATCAGTGGGTTGACACCTTTACCCCTGGAGGACAGCGTGTGGCGATCTGCACGTGCTCCAGGACCGGCCGTCACCTGGCTACGTTTACCCGTCGGCCGGGGTCGAGTCTCTACACACTGACCACTGCGTCTCCTCAGGTCGCTGCTGTCGGTCAGGTGTCCGCGTCAGGTCTGGTGGCCCACGCCTGTGAGTGTCGTTCCCTGTCGCACCAGACCCTTCTCTGGCACCACCGCCTGGGTCACCCCTCCTTGCCACGCCTCCGTGGCATGCACCGTCGCAGCCTTGTGTCTGGTCTTCCCAGGTCCCTCCCTCCCCTCCCTGCCTCGCCTGCGCCGCCTTGCCTTCCTTGCGTCGAGGGGCGGCAGCGCGCCGCTCCTCACTCCTCCTCGTTCCCCCCGACAGAGGCTCCTCTGCAGACCCTCCACCTGGACGTGTGGGGCCCTGCCCGCGTTCGTGGCCAGGGCGGTGAGCGGTACTTTTTGCTGGTTGTCGACGACTACTCGCGTTACACCACGGTCTTCCCCTTGCGCACCAAGGGTGAGGTCCCTGCTGTTCTGATCCCTTGGATCCGCACAGTTCGTCTCCAGCTCCGCCGCCGTTTCCGGACGGATCTTCCTGTCCTGTGTCTGCACTCTGACAGAGGTGGTGAGTTTTCCTCCGATCTCTTGAGGACCTTCTGTCAGGCGGAGGGCATCGAGCAGACCTTCACGCTTCCGGACTCCCCACAGCAGAATGGGGTTGCTGAGCGCCGCATTGGCCTGGTCATGGAGGTCGCTCGTACCTCCTTGGTCCACGCGGCGGCTCCCCATTTTCTGTGGCCGTTTGCTGTCCGGTACGCCGCGCATCAGCTCAACCTCTGGCCCCGTGTCTCCTTGCCGGAGACCTCGCCCACACTGCGTTGGACGGGGGAGGTTGGCGATGCGTCGCGCTTCCGGGTGTGGGGTGCTCGTGCCCTTGTCCGCGATACGTCCGCGGACAAGCTCTCCTCCCGCACACTTCCCTGTGTCTTCCTTGGCTTTGTTCCTGACGCGCCGGGCTGGCAGTTTTACCACCCCACCTCGCGCCGGGTCTTCGCCTCTCAGGACGTCACCTTTGACGAGTCGGTCCCTTTTTACCGTCCCCTACCGCACTGCCCCCCTCCCTCCCCCGCCGCTTTTCCTTGCTCCTGGTCCCCCTCCGGTAGACCCCCTTCCCCCTCAGGGTCCTGCTCCTTCAGGTGTCTCTCAGGTAGATCCTCCTCCCGTCGCTGAGCCTGTCGAGGTCACAGGTGACTCAGGTGCTGCTGCAGGTGGTGCTGCTGGGAGTGCTGAGCCTGGGGGTGCTGAGCCTGGGGGTGCTACGACTGGGGGTGCTGAGCCTGCGTGTACGGAGTCTGGGGGTGCTGAGCCTGGGGGTACTGCGCCTGAGGGTACTGGGCCTGGGGGTGCTGCTGCTGAGCCTACGGAGCCTGGGGTTGCTGCGTCTGGGGGTGCTCTTCCTGGCGGTACTGGAGCTGCTGGAGCTGACGACGCTGGAGCTGACGGTTCTGGACACGGTGGTCCTGCTGGTTCTGGAGGTGCTGGCGAGGGGAGGTCTGTCGCTGCTGGGGCCTCTGGTGCTGACGTCGCCGACTCGGGGGGTGCTGTGGCGGAGGGTGCTGGTCCAGGTGCTTCTGGTGCTCCGGGTGCTGGAGGTGCTGGCGGAGCTCCGCCGTCGCGCCTGTTCTTCGCTCCTCCGTCGCCGTCGGCTTTGCCGCCGCCTGACACGGTTCTTCGCCAGGTTCTTTCCCTCCCGTCTTCCACTGGCCTTCCCCTTCAGCCTGGCTCCCCCCTCCCTGCTCCTGTGCCTTATACTGCACAGCCGGACTCGCTTACGGAGCGTCGTGAGCCTGCGTCTCGTCCTGCCTCGCCTGTTCGCGCTGCTCGCACTGCGCGCACTGGTCCCACTGGTCGTCGTGTCGCGCGTCCGCGTCCTCCTCCTGTTCCTGGCACGCATATTATGGCCCTTCGTCCTTCCACTGGTCCACAGCGTGTCCCCCTACCGTCTCCTCCTGCGTCTTCTCTTCCTGACGTTCCCGACCCTGAGTCTGACAGTGTTCGTGCTGCCCACCCTACTGTTACGCGTCTTCTCGCCACTGTTGTCACTGACCCGTCGTTTGAGTCTTCTGCTGCGTCTGCCCTGGTCGCTGAGCTTGTCGACTTTGCTGCTGCCTGTCGCCTAGACTACGCCACCAGTCTTGTTGCTGAGTCTGAGTCTGTCTGTCCTCCGTCCGTCGGGGGTGAGTGTGCTCTTGGCACGGACGTCCTTGAGGACAGGCAGGAGGACTTTGACTCTCTTGCGGCTGCTGTACCTCATCTCGTGGCCTGGTTGCTTGCCCCTGAGGGAGACCCGGATGCACTAGACATCCCCACTCCGCGCTCTTACGCAGAGGCGATCTCGGGTCCCTAATCCTCTCAGTGGCAGACAGCCATGGACGCAGAGATGGCATCCTGGAAGTCCACAGGCACCTACGTCGACGAGGTTCCCCCTCCTGGGGCGAACATCGTCGATGGCATGTGGATTTTCAGGGTGAAGCGGCCGCCAGGTTCTCCACCTGTCTTCAAGGCTCGTTACGTTGCTAGAGGCTTCAGTCAGCGTCAGGGGGTTGACTTCTTCCAGACCTTCTCCCCCACCCCGAAGATGACCACTCTTCGGGTTCTGCTACACGTTGCTGCTCAGCGTGACTACGAGCTTCACTCTCTTGACTTCAGCACAGCGTTCCTGCAGGGCAGCCTGCACGAGGAGATCTGGCTGCGCCGCCCACCTGGCTTTACTGGGTCGTTTCCTCCTGGTACCCAGTGGAGCCTCCGCCGGCCAGTCTACGGTCTCCGCCAGGCGCCACGTGAGTGGCACGACACACTGAGGACTACACTTGCAGCTCTTGGGTTCGCGCCGTCTACTGCTGACCCGTCGCTGTTTCTGCGCACAGACACGTCGCTACCGCCGTTCTACATTCTCGTGTACGTCGACGACTTGGTCT